CCCCTACCACCCACCGCTCCCCCGCGCGCCCGCTCTCTGTATCCGCTTTCGTTCTTCTTAGTTCCGCTCCGCGCTCTAGAGGGATAGCCTATTCGCCTTGCAATGGACTTTAAAGAATTGCACTTGATGTATCCATAAGCAGGGAATGCATTTACATTTTTGACATTTTGATCTTAACCACTTGAAAGTCTACGGCATTTTCACACCTCAGAAAACGTGCTACTGAATAGAGAACAACACTAACATATAATTCTAATAGCCTCATTTCAAATATACACATCGCAACTAGCAAAGACACACTTATGCTAAGAGCATGAGCCCACGATACAGCACACTAGGAACCAATAGGAAAAATTCCTAGGCCACTCTGACCCTTAAAATTAGTTGCAAACAATATTTTAATATTTTATTATTATTTAAATGTTAAAAACCATTTTTTTAAGAAAAACAATAAAAAATTGTAAAAAGTGCAGGGGGGACCCTCAAGACAGGGGACCCTCCAAAACCTACCCGTCGCATTTTAATGCAATAAATCATTTTTTATCGCATTCCAATGCAATGCAAATTCTTTTACACCACTTCAATGGAATATCCAATGCGATAAAATCTTATCGCTGCCCACTGCAATAAAACACTTATCTCTCCCCAGATTGCGTAATTTACTGTAAATCGCTTTCTTTTAATTCACCGCTGCAAATTGTATGACATTTATCGCATTAAAATTTACAGTGTAGGCCCGTAGGTTCTAAGGTTTCGGAATAACATGACATTCTACTATTAAGCATGCTATTAAATCTTTGGCAGAACCAATTTTAATTTTGAATTGGTAATGTCCGTACGGCAAGACTGGAAATTTTGGGAACGTCCAATCGACCGGTTCTTGGTTGGCTACGTAAACACCCTGGAAGAATTTTAATACATGGATTAACAACTCAACACCAACGTGACTAGTTCGGCATTTGGTCTCACTCTGATAATGTTTAGTTGGCTATACAGGAGGGTGGCACTTTTACCATACAATTTAGGCCTGTGATCCAACCTATGTCTACTTACAGCAGGAATGACGCACGGAGATTTGGGTGCCTTGCCATCCTTGTCGAACATTAAGTGATAAAATCCGGGTATATGTGTTGCAATCATTGAGCATGCTTTATCTTTGAAGTCAATAACAAGCGAATTTTCTTTCCATTGGTTATTATTCCGAACATCCAGGTTTACTCTCACCTGTAGAAAAAATCACTTTAACAAGGGAACGTTTCCTGGGCATACACTCTAGAAACCGAAATGTTCACATATATGGAGTACCTCCGGAATGCCCATCTGTATTAGGGTAAGTCGTATATCGCTTACTTTCGATTCTTGGGTTGTAATAGTGTTTTCCAGGCGCCATTTTGGATGAAAACTCATGAAAACATTTTTTAAGTTTTTTCCTGTAACCTTTTCATAACTGTACCTTTCCTGTTATTCTGGCCTGCCATAAGAGGTGGTTTTAAAATCCTCAATTTTTGGCGTTTTTTTTTTCTTTTTTTGACTAAACACGCAATTTTACGGCCCTCTGGGTGAAAATTTTAAGAAGTTTCTATCCCTTCCGGTTTGCATGATATGAATTGTTCTTATATTGTTGTAAATGAGTAACCTTTTCCCTTCCATTAATAATTCGTAGCTGGAAAACCGGCTGAGATAGAGCTTTCTCCTTAAAATTTTCAGCCAGAGGACCGTAAAATTGCGTGTTAAGTAAAATAAAAAAAAAATACGCCAAAAATTGAGGATTTTAAAACCACCTCTTATGGCAGGCCAGAATAACAGGCAAGGTAGGGTTATAAAAATGTTACAGGAAAAAACTTCAAAAGTGTTTTTGTATGGCTGTATGGCTCTGTGTGTTCATAGTCAAGTACAGACAACCCCCTGCATACATGAACATGTACCCGCTAACTCCTGAATACATGATCTTGTACCTACTACATGTACCTGAATATGTAGGCATTCGGGAGGTACTGCGGGCCGTCGTCATTCGTCATATTTCGATTTGGACATCGTCATAGGACTCAAAAGTATCGTTTTTTCATGCTGATTCCTAATAAAATGAATTTTTGAATGTGTTAGCAGTTTTTAGCCCGCCCTTCTGCTTTAGAAAAGCTATCTAGCGGGATTATGCAAACGACCTCGTGTCTGTCTGTCTGTTCCACTTGAAGGAGATGTGCTAAAGACTTCAAATTTTCAGGGTATCTTAAGGTTCACTCCTAGAAAACGAAACGCCTACGGCAAATCCTGGCAACCACCCCTAAAGGGCTAAAAGGCAGTATTAAAGAAAATGGGGTAGGTCAAAATAGTCAGAAAAACAATATTTGTTTTTAAGATCTCCTAAAGGGTAACTCGTGAGAGTCAAGCCCTATCGACGAAAATTTCGTCCGTTTCGCTCTATCTCTCACCGTTTGGGCGCTAGAGGGAGTTTCTCTCACTAAAGTGGCCCAAAAATAAATTTATTAATTTCCGAAAATATTGGATGGTCCCCTAAGGGGTGTAACTTGTCACAGAAGAGCCCTTGGGTCGAAAATTTCGTTCGTTTGGGTATATCTCTAACCTTTAAGGCGCTGGAGGGTCTTGTTTGACGAAAATAAGTTAAAAATTGCTGTAGTGAACAATTAGTTGTAGAAGGCCCAAAACCGCAAAAGAGGAAGAAACTCCCCCCCCCCCCCACCACGAAAAAACGTTTTCTCAGCAGAAGGGTGGGTTGTGGTCGCGGTGCTTCGCCGTTACATCCCTTTCTCGTGTCCACGGGGCAAATTTTAAGGACGACGGGCTTTGCCGGCCGGAGGTCTGTTACATCATTTGATTATGTTCTACAGCAAATCGCGTGACAGAAATGGTCGGGCCGCAGGCCTGACCATCGCCGCCGGCAGGCCAAGCATGCCCCTGCCGAACGAAGTTGCCGGCGCAGCGAAGCGAAGCTGGCAACTTCGTTTGGCGGAAGGGCAGGCCTGCTTGTTTATTTAGAGGGATGGCCTTTTAGCTGGGAGCTCGGTTGGTCTAATTTAGCTCGAATAGACTCCTGAATCACATCTGTAGCTCTGAATTCATAAAACAAATATCATGCGGTACTTTTCTCACAGTGCGTATTGTAGAGAATCGACCCCTAGATCACGCATGTAGCTCAAAATACTCAAAGCCAATAGTATGGGGCACCTTTCTCACTGTGCTTAATGGTACCCTATAGGGTCAGGCAGCGTGAGACAAGTACCCAAGGGTCATTTTAAGCAATTCTACCGGTGTGTACGGTACGTCCCTAGAATCAATATCTATCAAGCGGAGACCCGTTAAAAGTCATTCTGCCCTAAATGGCCTAAAGTAGCCCAAAATATGACCAAATATTACCCAAACGGGGTTTTATTCTGCCATCTCTTGCCATTTTGTGCAGTGTGGGGCGGCCGATGGGAATCGTGGGATAGTGATAGTGCCATTAAGTTGGAATGGGGAGAGATTTACAAAATTTTGCCGGTTGGGGCGAGTTGGCAAAAACTTGCATCCGGAACTCAACCCAAAATCGGGGCGAGTTGGCCTCGGGGCGAGTTGTACCTGGGGCGAGATGTCCGGCACCCCTCCTCGTGGTGAGTCCAGGGTAGGCATTCGGAAACCTTTCCTGGGCTGAGACCTGCACACGCATCGTAATCGGCTCGTAGGCCAATGAAAATGATGACCAATCGCAAAATGTAAGTTATTTCCGGAATCAGCATCAGCATTAAAAGACGAAACTTTTGAGTCCTATTACGATGTCGAAATCGAAAAATGACGAATGACGACGGCCGCTACTGCAGACATATACACACTTGAGCAGGCAGTTCACTGGCGCTAAATAAAGTACAGCAGAAAACCATTTTCCAGGGACCACTTTCTCTAAAAAAAAAACACGTTAACAGTTCTTGTTAACCATAAACGGACCCATATTTAAAAAAATTTAGTATTCTACAGTTTCGAGCAATATTTGTTGAATAAAGGAACAAGCAGGCCCGCCCTTCCGCCAAACGGAGTTGCCAGCTCCGCTTCGCTGCGCCGGCAACTCCGTTCGGCAGGGGCCGGGCCTACTTGGCCTGCCGGCGGCGACGCTCGGGACTGCGGCCCGACCGTTTCTGCTAAATTTGCTGAAAAACATAATCAAATAATATAGCGGGCCTTCGGTCCGCTAAAACCCGTCGTCATTAAAATTTGCCCCTTAGACGCATGAGAAAGGAATGTAACGGTGACGCACTGTGACTACAACCCACCCTTCTGCTTAGAAAAACTTCTTTTTTAAGGGGGGGGGCTTCCTGTACAACTAAATGTTCACTACAGCACTTTTTAGCTTATTTTCGTCAAAAAAAGACCCTCCAGCGCCCAAACGGTGAGAGATAGAGCCAAACGGACAAAATTTTAGCCCACAGGGTTCTACTTTCACGAGTTACCCCTTAGGAGATCATAG